TTGTTGTAGCAGTTGTTGCAGCAGTCGATGTTGCAGTTTAAACAGTTGTTGCTTATGTTTTTGTTGATAGGTCGAAGTTGACAGCCTGCATGCACTCTCGCTTTCCCATTCCTTCCTGTAAGCATGAGCAAGAACAATAACAACAACAACAACAACATCAACAACAACAATGATAATAATAATAAAAACAGTAATAACAGTCATAATAATAATAATAATAATAATAATAATAATAATAAATGATAATAACAGCACCAACAACCACAACAACAACAACACCAACAACAACAACAGTTTTCATTAGTTCTGCAAAAAGACACATCAAAGTAATTATTATACTTGCAAAAATTTTTTTTCACCGTAGAACGTTCACGTAAAAACTCTTAAGAGCCAAAGGCACGTGAAGAAATTATCAATTGTTATGCTAGACAATCAAACTATATGTTCATATACTCTCTCTCTCTCTCTCTCTCTCTCTCTCTCTCTCTTTCTTCTCTCTCTCTCTCTCTCTCCCTTTCTCTCTCTCTCATAAAGTTATAATACATCGGGCTAGCAAAAATAACAACTCAGACCCGATAAGCTTTTATATCAAATAAAAATCGAAAAAAAAGAGAGAAAACGTTAGAACGAGAAAGAGAGAGAGAAAGAGAGAGAGAGAGAGAAGAATGGAAAAAGAAAAAAGTAATAGTAGTAGTCGCGGCAAAAGAAGTAGCCACAGAAGCAGCGGTATCAACTGCAGTAGCGCAAGCATAAAATTATCCCCAACTACATAACACCACCAAACTTTATGCTCTGCCTCAGCAAGCAATCACAGGCAACTGAAGTTGTTATAGATTTAGGTACTCAAAGTATTTTTTACGTACATTAACATAATAAGGAAACCAAGCCTTTGTACCTGGCCCCATATAATTTTTATTTTCTTCAATCAATCTTCGTTAATTTTTATTTTATTAAACATCACAAACAACAACAACAACAAAAAACACCAACAACACCTGCAAACCAGACAGTCGCAAACAATATCACAACTAACAACTAACAACAGCAACAAATATTACAATTAATCTATACATACATAATGGAAACAATCGATAGATCATATATCACGTAATAACATCACACGCATATAGATAGGGTTATATAAGGGGTGGGCAAACTTTTCACTGTGAGGGCCGCATTGAGAACTATTTGACCTTTGAAGGGCCGCATATGTACTTAAATAGCAAATTTTTTTTAGACCTGGGCGACAATTTTTTTAAGATTTGTAGTTCCTTTTTTTGCTCGTAGTGTCTGGCTGAAGGGCATTTTTTGGAGAACAAGGCCAATTAACAAGTGCGTCTCCTTCAGCATATCTAACTATAACCACATACAAAAGCAAAAAAAAAAACAAATGAATAAAAACAGAAACATGCAAGACATAAACAACATACACACAAACATACACGTCATAATCATACACACATACCAATACATAAACACACGTATAAAAACATACACAATCTAAACATACAACGTACACCGTAAACAAGTGTAAGCAAAAAACTAAACTATAAACAACTGTATCGACTGGCATACTGAAATCTATCAGGCATATAAATTATCGTGAAAACAAAAACTGCAAAGAATATTGAGCAGTAACCCAAAGTAAGACATGAAAAAATCCAAGCAAAAACCTCACCGACAACAAATACATCCAAACATGACTATTAGCGACACCACCATTACCAGCAAACATCATCATTAATAACCATAACAACAATATCAACAACTAAATCATGACATCAGTTGACATTAACAACTCTCCATGCGTTAACGTCACGAATAAAGCCATCCTAACAACACAACAACAATACATTGTACTACTGAATCACAAACGCCAGACAACACGACATACACATATCTTCAGTTTAAAGTGAGGTAACAACTACCTATTGAGATAATTATTCATTTTTTTAAACTCAATTCTTCATCCATATAACATCCAACCTCTTTTTACAACAGCCATGATAAACCACATTAATTTTCCATTAATAATAATAATAATCTTGGTAACATCTGTCTTAGAGCTAGAGCTAGAAATTTGCAGTACTTGGCTATTCATTTGGCATATTAAAAATGGCACCGAATTTTAGACCAAACCATGTCAATAGGAAATACCAGGTACAATTCCAATGTAAGATCTCTAACCTTAATGTAGCAGGAAGCCTCTTCTCTATGCTTATTAACATTAACAGTTGTATTTGGGTAGGGTAAGTCGAGATGGCAAATTTTTTCATTAAATATTTACCATACAATTAATTAATTACTTAATTAATTAATTAACTAACCAACTAACCGGATAGCATATAATGAGTTTGGCAACGATAAAATAGTTATTAATACGATACAACAACGACACAAAAATAACCAAAATAACAATAATAGTAACAACAACAACAACAACAACAAACCTTGGCAAATTAAATTTATTCCATTAATTATTTATCAATCGCCAATTAAAGCAATTGGATCAACTATTTCTTCTTCTTACTTATAATATAATTATTCATTAATTATATATTTAATATTATTATTTCAATCATTAATTAATTGAAAAATAGGTAGATTGATTGATTAATTGATTGATTGATTGATACATTTATTCACTTACTTACTTGCTATAATATTCATTTAATCATGTTGTATTTGAATAGCAAAGGATGTGTATGTATATACCCATAAAATTGGTTGTAAACTAGCTAAGCCAACAACATTTCAACAATTAAACTTGAGAAATTCAATCATTCTATATATAAACATAAATACACACTCAAACGGTATAACATTATACATACATACATACATACAAACATACTCTATTGATACATACTTATACACGCATATATGCATACATAAACATATACATACATACACATATATCTCTAATGTTATAGTCAAGTGTCATCCAGCTATATTATGTACATTACTAAACTAAAAGCTAAGTAAAGACGCACATAAATACACGCAGTCACTTATTATTAATGTATTATTAAAAACGTAACACGATATAAACATTATGTTGCACAGAACACACATACAAACACACACAAACAAACACACACAAACACATACACATACACACACAAATGCCTACACATATACACGCGCACACACACACACACATATGTGTATACAATTTAGCATAGGCATGGTTGGATAATACTACTACTAATAAATAATAACTCATACGAAGGACTATTATTATTTTATTTAACGGATGAAAATAATTATAAATAATAGATGGTCTGCATGTGTTTGTGTGTGTGTGTGTGCCTGTGTGTGTGTGTGAGTACGTGCGGGAGCATATCACACTGTATGCAATGTGTAACAGATAGTTATGTAAGTAAGGTTGCTAGTTAACTACTGCAACATAAATATAAATATGCTGTATTAATATACAATAAATATCACATCTATTCTATATTATACATCGTCGTCGTCATCATCATCATCATTATCGATCTCATATCATCATCATCATTATTAATCAACATCGTCTTCTTCTTCATCTTCATCATCCTCATAAGCGTCATTATCATAACTAGCAACGATTTCGCCTTCACTATCAGTACCAGCTATGGCGATAAATAAACACTCGTGTCTCTACATACTCATAAATCTTTGGCTCACTAACATAATTCATTTTAACCGATTCCAACAAAAATGAATCTTTTTATTTTTTTATGTAAGTTAGAGGAGGTTAGGAAATCAATCAATCAATCTCAAATGAGTTTTTGTTTCAACTGTGTAAGTATGTATGTATGTATGTATGTATGTGTGTGTGTGTGTGTGTGTGTGTGTGTGTGCGTGTTTGTATGTGAAGTTTGTATGTGCGTCTGATGTATTGGCAACGAACGATTAACAATCCTCTTTTCAGTCTAAATTCGGCTTCAAATGCATCGCTGATCACCAAAAAGCTAATTTTCGATTAAAAGTGGATGATTGGTATTTAAATTAAACCCCTTGCCAAAATATTCCTATTTACATTACATTTACCCAATGGTTTGAGCGAAAATCATATACCATTCGGACCAATGGGACTCATCGTATATAAATAAACATCATATATCATATTAGAGCTTTAAAATCAAGCTAGGAGGGCTAAGGATACTAAGACATTTATTTTCTAGTAGTTCATACACAAATGCCAGTCTACTGAATCACTTTAAACTTTGTTATTATTACCAATATCATTATAGTATAATTTATATTTTATATTATATCGCGATAGTTCCTATATAATTTATATTTTATATTATATCGCGATAGAAACACTACTAACCGATTTTAAATATATTTTTTACTCTCGAGCACTTGTTAATCAAAGAGCATGAGAGGATTGTACGTTATATTTTGCATATCATCTATTTACACTCTGATATATAATTTATAATTAATAATTTTTAATTGATTTCATTTGGATTTTATTTTTTCGGTAAATAAAAGAATGTTCCAATTATTATTATTATCATTATTATCATTATCATTATTATTATTATTATTATTATTATTATCATTATCATTATTATTATTATTATTATTATTATTATTATTATTATTATTATTATTATTCGTATTAGTCGCCACGAGAGTTGGCCGATTTGTTCAACTCGCTGGTTTTTATACGTAATATCAGTTTTTAATTCGAATAAATCAGTTTAAATTTGGTTATCTTGGCTTAAAGAATTGCGTGAAATATGGCGGTACTTTTACAACTTAAATTTTATAATGTTTTCTATTTTATTTTAATTTTATTAATAAACTTTATTTATACAATAAATGCAAGTAAATGCCCGTATTGCAACATGTCGTTTGTTAACGTTAACAGACACTCCTGGCGCTGTACAAAAAGTACTGTAAACTTTAATTCTAACAGTGTCCGTTCAAATGGAAATTTTAACGTAGATAATAATTCGTCTAACAATTTTAATTCAAATTTACTAAATAATTTGCCAATTAATATGGATAATAATAATTCGATATTTTGCTGTTGCGGTAAAAAATGTAAAAATAAAGGAGGTCTCAAATTACACCAACGTTCATGTAAAATTCACCAAAACCTTAAATCGTCAAACAATTCAAATGAAAGCAACTCGGAAGCTGACCCGCCTCCACCACCACCACAAGTTCAATGTCAGTCCAACCAACTTCAACCAAGCCACAGTCTACCGCCATCGCCTTCAGCTTCAGCACTCAATCATTATCTCCATTCGTCAAATGCGCCAGTCGAAGACAACAACAAAGCAAACTCACCATCATCATCGACACAGGTTCAACAACCATTCCAACAGCCGAGCCATGGTCCACAGTCAGCGTCATCAGCACCCAACATCAATTTTATTGCTTGTTGCTGCGGTAAATACTGTAAAGGCAGGAAAGGCCTCATCATGCACCATCGCTCGTGTAAACTTCATAAAACTCTCATATTATCTAATACTTCCAAAGTAACTGAATCATCCATATCGCCGCACGTCCAACAACCAGTATCCTCGTCACCATCAAATGTTGAAAAAACTGAAATTCCTCTCCCAGGGGTCAAACTGCCCAGAACCCCTGCTCAATGGTCAGAAGCCAATGCATATTTTCAACTTCACCAAAAGTCGCTACCAACGTACTACAACATCGACGAGTTTACATTAGCGTTTCAAACAATGATCTACAACTACTTTGCTGCAAACTATGGTACCATCAAATCGCAAACAAGTTTAAACGACAACAAAAATAAATCCATTAAAGCATTGAAAAAAGAATTAAAACAGCTTAAATCGTTGGGCCACAACAACCACCGTTTTGACGTTCAAATTAGCTCAATAAGCAAAACATTGAGATCAAAATTATCGTCAAGAAAATTACCAACAACTAAGACACCTGACACAACAAATCAATTAAAACGTCGCTTTTGGTGGTTCTGTAAAAGGTTATTTACCCAATCAAAAAGTCAAGGTCCGTTGTTCAGTGTCGACGACTGCAAAAACTATTTTTCCTCCGCCTTAAGCGACGACAATTCCAAAAAATATCAACTCCCAAATTGGGTTCCTAGTACATCAAAGCCCACAACACCCTGCAACACCAGTCCGCCTTCTTATTATGAAATATCATCAATTGTTTACAAATGCAAAGCAAAATCTTCTCCGTGTCCCTTGGACCAAATATCAATAATACCTTTCAAAAGATGCCCAATTCTTCGAACCATTCTACAACAACTAATAGCTCAATGTTGGTCATCTTCTAAAATCCCCTCTTGCTGGAAAAAGGGATTTACAATACTTATTCATAAAAAAGGTGACGCAAATGATCCAGCTAATTTTCGTCCAATCACCTTGCAACCTACTCTATACAAAATACTTTCAACATCTATCAACAATCGAATCTATAAATTTCTCGAATCTAATTCATTAATAAACAAAAACATACAAAAAGGTTTTTATCCAAAAGTTGATGGCTTGACCGAGCATACCCAACTCCTAACTCACATGCTCAATGATGCAAAGAGACATCAACGAACTGTCATTGTCACTCTTTTGGATCTTCGAAACGCATTTGGCGAAGTCAGCCACAACATAATCTCATCAACCCTAGATTACCATCACATCCCTTCCCAAATAAGCAACTTAATCAAAGCAATATATGCCGACTACACAATATCTGTTTCTGGATGCGACAACCTTACTCCTCCTATCCCGGTTAGACGTGGTGTTCTGCAAGGTGATCCCGTCTCCCCATTAATCTTCAACATGTGTTTTAACCCATTGATGAAGTTGATCGAAAAGACAGAATATCAACAATGCGGTTATATTTGGGGACCGACGGCCAACTTAAAAACCAATGCTTGGCTTCAATTTGCGGATGACACAGCGATCATCGCCAACAGCACAGATGGTGCTCAAAAATTAATCGACTTGAACCAAGCTTGGTGTAAAGCTACCGGCATGAATATGAGGATTGATAAGTGTTGCTCGTTTGGTATGAGGAAGAAGAACGGGGGCTATGAACAATTTTCGCCGAGGCTGACCATTGATAACAAACAAATCCCTCATATCGATATGAACGGTCATTTTGAATACCTCGGCAAAATTTATGATTTTAAAGGAAACAACTCGAAGGCAAAAGAATTACTGATTAAAAAGCTGAAAAACATGCTGTCAGTCGTCAACGAGTTGGACACAACGCCCCAATGGAAACTCCAAATACTACGAAGATATATTCCGTCTCAGTTGGCCTTTGAGCTTCGAACGTATGACATGCCGTTGACGTGGATTGGAAACAACCTGGATCCTATGGTTGCGGAATCAGTAAGAAATTGGCTTTCCCTCCCGATTAGCAGTTGTATATCTGAATGTCTATCCCTCCCCTTCAAATTGGGGGGCCTGGAAATCAGATCGCTACATTTTGCCGAATCACTCAGAGTTAAACTCAGAAATTATCTGAGATCTCACGACAACAAAGATGTAAACTGTCTGTGGAGTGATTCGTACAACAACTACATTAAGATCGACAACATGCTTCCTGATTCAGAGAGTGTGAAATCGACGCTCAATGCGTTAAAGATTCGTCAACATGAAGCCGATTTCGATCATGTGTCGCAACTTTCCTGCCAGGGAAGAATAATTAAAGCAGTTAGAGAACACATTCCACCAATCCACGTTACCCGATGGTCGAGGCTCACTGCCGATCTTCCGGAGGTCTTATTCAGATTCGCTAGGAAAGCATTGATACAACAACTTCCGACAAATGCCAATCTTTCCAGATGGGGCAAGTCTTCCAACGCCTTATGCCCGCTTTGTAACGCGCTTCAGACAAACAAGCACGTTCTGTCAAATTGTGATTCAGTAGCGGCTTTAAAAAGATTTACAACACGCCACAACAAAATATTATCTTTAATTCTAGAGAAGATCAAATCATTTGCTAAACCAGAAGTTGCAATTTTTGCTGATACGATGAACGACGAATTTCTCCCAACAACGTCCCTCTTCAAATCGTTTCGGCCCGACATAGCACTTCTCCGGGGGGACACAATTGAAATACTGGAACTGACAATATGTCATGAATCCAACTTCTCTAGTTCAAGGGATTACAAAAGATCTAAATATAAAAACCTACACAGTAATTTGATCGACGAGAAGAAAGATTCGAAAATAATTATTAATACATTTGAAATTTCACCTTTAGGCTTTTTTAAATATTTTTATTTATCGTTTGTTGATTTTATTTGGACTGACCAATTTTGCAATGATTTAATTAACTCGGCAATAACATCATCGTACGCTATTTATTGCGATAGAAACTCGATCGCAACATAATTATTTTTAAACTGATTTTGAATTTCTCGTTGTACTCATTGCATGTTGATTCAATGGCGAGCATCGTAGATTATTTCACAAACCTTTATATCATTCTAATTATTTTATTTTATTTTATTACATGTACATTTTGGCCAAAATAAAAGAGTTTCCATTATTATGCTTTTTACTTTGAACAAGAAAGTCGCTTTTATGTAGCTCACTGTTTATTTTAGCAATGTAAGGTTTTATGACGTGATCAAATTGTAGGATAATTGATAAAGAAAATGGCTGCGTTTTTAAAATTTGGTTTTATCGATTATTTTAAAGTTAATAGTCTAATTAGTTTAATTTTGATTTTAATTTCTTTTAACAATGTAAACGCAACAATTTGCCCGTATTGCTATAAGGACTTTAATTTTATTAATAGACACTCCTGGCGGTGTACAGCAATTCATTCTAACTCTAAGGAAAATATTTCACCAAACAATAACGTTAACATTTCTTCCAATTTATTAACAAATAATAATAATATTTTACCTGATAATTTAAATGATATGATGACTTGTTGTTGTGGTAAAACTTGAAAGGGTCGGAAAGGACTGTTGATGCATCAAAGATCATGTAAATCGTACAAATCGCTCAGATCCACGAAGTCCGAAGTGGAACCAATCGACAGCGATGATAACAATGCAACAACGTTTCAACACACATCAGATTCAACAACTATTCCAAAACCACTACCTGGTATAAAACTACCCAAATCGCCTACACTTTGGGCTGAAGCCAACGCATTTTTTCATATTGAACTAAAACGTCTTAACAAGTGTGCTGATGTTGACAACTTCGCCATCGAATTTCAAAACATAATTTACTCTTATTTTGCGTCAAATTATGGAACGTTAACAAAAGATTCAACACCCAAGAAGCACAAAAAATGCAATATTAAACATTTAAAAACAAAATTAAAAAACTTAAAGACATTGGCTCAGTCAGATAGCCAACTCAACAGTGACGTCTTCATGCTCAGCAGGCAGTTGAGGGCAACATTTAAAACTAATAAAGTATTTAAAAATAAAGACAATATTTAAACTAAACTGAAACAGAACTTTTGGAAAACATGTAATAATATTTTTAACAAATCTAATTCTCAATCGCCACTCTTCAACATGGAAACAGCAACTAACTTTTTTAATAATCTACTAAACGCAGGTGATCATACCATGTTTCGTCTCCCAAATTGGATCCCTACCCTTCCTTCTCCGTCGTTTCAAGGAAATTTAAATCAGCCAACTTACAATGAGATTACTGTAATTGTGAAAAAAAGCAAAACAAAGGCATCTCCTTGTCCTCTGGACGAAATTTTAAATATAGTTTTTAAAAGATGCTCAATATTGAGAACATACCTTCATAAATTGTTTGTAATGTGTTGGCGTGCTACAATAATTTCAAAATGCTGGCGTAGAGGATTGACGGTCCTAATCTACAAAAAAGGTTATTCACAAGACCCATCAAATTTTCGTCCAATTACTTTGCAACCAGTAATCTATAAATTATTTTCAACTCTCATAAAATCAAGACTCTACAACTTTCTTGACAAAAACAATTTTATCAACAAAAATATACAAAAAGGCTTTTACCCAACTGTCGATGGGTTAGCCAAACACACCCAAATGTTAACCCATCTATTAAAAAACGCCAAGCGACATCAACGCACCATTGTTGTTACATTGTTGGACTTAAGAAATACTTTTGGATAGGTAAACCATCATCTCATCACTTCGATCTTAAAATATCACCATGTTCCACAAATATTTCATAATATAATAGCATCAATCTATTGCAACTATTCTATATCACTATCTGTTAACGGTGAATTGTCGCAAGCAATACCAGTTAGAAAAGGTGTACTTCAAGGCGACCCCTGCTCACCACTGCTTTTTAATATCTGTTTCAACCCTCTCATGAAAATCTTGGACACTAAAGAATATAAACAACATGGCTATCTCTGGGGCTCAACTTCTAACATAAATACTAGATCATGGCTTCAATTTGCCGACGACTCGGCAGTCATTGCTCACAGCACTGAAGGAGCACAAAAACTGATCGATTTGAATCAATTTTGGTGCAACTGGTCAGAAATGAAAATGAGAGTTGACAAATGCTGTTCGTTTGGAATGAGGAAAAAAGATGGCAAATAAGTTCAATTCTTGCCACGGTTAACGATTGAAGATGTACAAATCCCTAACGTGAAAATTGGCCAATCTTTTACGTATCTAAGCAAACTGTACATTATGAATGCAAAGATTCCAAAGCAAAAAACGAGTTACAGTTGAAGGTCACTCAGTTGTTGGAAAAGATCTCAAAGTTGGATGTGCGCCCACAACAGAAGCTACAGATTTTGAGAAGGTTTGTTCCCACTCAAATAAATTGTGAACTTCGCAGCTACAATTTAATCTAATTGTTGAAGCTATCCGAAACTGGTTGGATATGCCAATCAGTGGTTGTGTAGCAGAACTAAATTCGCTGCCAGCAAAGATGGTAGACCATAATATTATGTCCCTTAAAGATACCGCAGAGAAAACGAGATTGAAGCTGCGAAACTATTTTAAAACCAACCAAAATAAAGAAATTCAATTCTTGTACAAAGAATCAACAATCAATTACATCAAAGTTGACAATATCCTTCAAAATCAAATGCCCTAAAATCATCGCTCAAACAGCTAGAAGATGAAGAGTTGAATAATGTTTCAACCACGTTCTTTCGCTTGTGATTCAGGGCACTATCATCTCGAAAATAAAAACCGTCATCAAAACTAATAATATTTCTCGTTGGTCAAAAACTCTAGAGAATCTTGCTGGAGTCTTCTTCAAATTTGCCAGGAAATATTTGGTACAGCAACTGCCAACAAACGCCAATTTGTTTAAATGGGGCAAAACTCCAAGTCCTTTGTGCCCTCTCTGCGGTTGTAAACAAA